CAGCACCACCCCCTCCCAGCCTGGGGCCATGAGGGCAGACCCCATGCCCAAGACCCACCTCTAGGACTCTCCAAGAGCTGACCACCTCAACCCAGCCATCTCACACACACCCCACAGCCTTTTCCATCTGTGGGATCACTGAGGCTGAGAGCCCATCCAAATTTCCAAATCACCTGGCTCTGGGCACCCCACCTTTTAGGAAGAGGAGGTAAAAGGACTCCAGGCTCTGTTGGCCTCACTCAGAGTTCAATCTCTCTCCTTCTTGCTCTCGCTCATCCTGCCTCTCAGTATCTTTCTCCTCACCAGTCTCTCAGACACAGTCCTCCCCCTCAGTCTCTCTTATAAAACGTCTCTCTCCCAGTCTCCCGATCCCTCCCTCATGATACTACCTATTCATTTTCTCAAATACTCAATCTCTCACACAACATCTTTCTCAATCTTTCTCAGCTCTCCCCCTCCTCCTCCCCAACACGCACACACACTCTGCAGCAGACCCCAGCACAAGAGGGCCTGTGCCCCAGGGCCGGAGTGCTGACCGTCCTAGCACAAGGGCATGCTTGCACGTGCACCGCATGCGCAGGGGTGCACACGCTTCTTGTACATGTGGTATAGAACTTGTTTAAACCCCATTTTCAGGCCATTATATCTCACCTGTGGCTCCTTCATTGGGAAACTCAGGCTGGACTTGAACATGTAAATCAATTGGTGGAGGTCCGGGGGAGGTCAGGCTGAAGGCCAGGGCAGGGTCTGGCTGTGGCTGTAGCACCCACTACATGCCGAGCACTGTGGCGACAAGAACGAACAGCCCAGACAGACCCTGTCCTGGACATCTCATGGAGAGTCAGACATTAAGAGAATAACTACTCTGATACATGAAAGAACAACAGTGACCAAAGGCACACTGGGGGTGTCAGAGGTGCCCACATCAGGGGAGACACCCTGGGGGAAGGTGGGTTTTGCACCCAGGGCTGGAGAGCCATCACCCTGGCTCAGAGTCTGGCTCTCACACTGCTTTCTCGGCCTCAACAACCCTCAGATCAACGTAACCCCTGAAAATGGACTGCAGAGGCTGCTTTAAGCAGATGAGCTTGGAGAGCAGGGGCCAAAGATTCTGAGTATTCAAGGAAGAGTAACCACTGGGAGCCTGACTTCATCATGTTGCTGAGATATGAGGGATCTGCCAAGGAGCAAAAGCACTGGGGAGGAGGGGGGGGAGTGGCTCCAAGCAGAGGGGACTGCTTGTGCAAAAGCTCTGTGGTATAAGGGATAGTGATGGTCTCCAGTCCTGACGGAAGGCAATAAAGGGGGCCCAGGAGCCCGGAGAGAAAGACTAAGTGTGCCCACTGTCCCACAGGGTCATGCACTCCCCGAAGTATGTCATGTGGGCCGGAAGCAGTGGCTCCAACCTGTGATGACTCAGACCATCTGGGTGGGGGAAGCATGGTCACCAAGACAGAGCAGGCAGGGAGCCCAACGGTGATGCCATGGCTGGAAGAGGAGGGACTACCTCCACAACAGACACAGAGAAAGAAACAGAGCGGAGATCGCAACAAGGAGAACCAAGATCAAAGCAGGTTTGACATAGGAAGCAAAAAAGAGGGTAATCAGAAGAAAGCTTTGCAATCAATTAGTTAGAAAGCAAAGCAGCCCAGCTCCACAGACAGACCCAGAAACTGAGCCTCCCATTCCTGGAATTTACTCTCCTGACCCCACCGGTTCTTGGTCGTCCTCTAAGAAACCACCCTGAGCAAGCCAAAGTCCCCTTCTTCAGACACTTTCCCCATCTCGGCACTTATTACTGTGTTTTAAGTATCTGTTTAACCATCACCAAAGTCCCCACATACTTGCTCCCTCAGCCCACCAGGGGGCCTCGCAGCTCCAGACCTCAGCCCAGCAGGACCCCGGTGGCTGCCACATCCCTCCTGTGCACCCCCTTGGGCATGCCCAGACACCCCATCGTTGTTTTTGACTAATGGTTCTACCAGCAAATAGGCCTCGAGTCTAGTTGTGGGGGGAGGTGGGCAAGAGCAGCAGCCAAGAGGCAGTTCAGAATCTCGCAGGAATCAGTGGACTCCAGTCAAAGTATCCCGTGAAAAGCACTGCCAGTTTCTCACGACAAGGGGCCACCCACAGGCGTAAACCCAACACAGCTCATCCCTGAGAAGCCTTTCAAACCCCCATGCTCAGGGGTCTTTCAGAGAGAAAACTCATCCGCATTCTCCCAAACTGTATTTCATGAGGTCACTGCTCTTAGGACACTGACGCACAAAACTCCACACTATTCTGAAGTCTGAAAGGCAGACACACACTGAGATTTTAGAGAAATTTATACAAAAATAGTTAAACTACAATGTTCTTACCACCTGAAACCTAACTACGTGATATACAAAATGAACGTTTGTGAGTTTGCTGGAATTTTCTTAAGAAATGACAACCTTGGTCCAAGTTCGTAAAAGAAAACTATATTCTTTTAAAGAAAAATGAAAACATCCTCAAAGGAAAAACTTAATTTAAGTCAAATCGTATCCTTTCGTCGTGGAGCCTGATACAGTGCGCGCACACGGGTGCTGTCCCAGGGCGGCCCCTCCTGGTCCCTCCCGCCAGAGACTCGCGGCTGGAACTGTGCTCGAGCAGACGCTCCCCCCAACCCACCCCGCTAACGGTGGGGAAGGGGCAGTCCCCGCATTGGGAGCCGTGGTAGCGGGGAACAGGGCAGGAACTGTGGCTCAAAACACTCATCAGAGTCCCCATGGCCAAATCCCACAGTGACCGCAAGGGCCAGAGGCAGCGCCCTTGCAGGCCCCGTCCCCCAAGGGTGTCATTCCTTACCCGTCCCTGTGACCCCACTCAAACAAGGCACCCTTCCCACCCACCAGCGGGCAAGGTGCATGACACAAACGCGCGTGCCCTCTGCCAACCCCCACCTTCTGGACCACACCCTGCCCCGGGACCGTGCTTCGAGGGGCTCCCAGGCCCCTCGCGAACAAGGGAAAGCAGCTCCCGCCGCGGGGCCGGAGGCCCTCTCCGCTTGGGTTACCCACGGCCGGGGCGCAGGGGGTCCCCAGCGGAAAGCCGGCATGGGGGGGCGGGGCGGGGCAGCACGGCCGGAGGGAAGCTTGAGGAGGCACAGGCGGTGAATAAATAGAAATAGCTTCAACGCGGGGGTCCGGCCCCTGCGGACAGGACAGCAGCTCAGTGGGAAGTGCGAGGAGGGGGATGGAGGTGGGGTGGAAGCGGCAGCCGAGCCCACCCTGACGCTGACCCGGGCCACCTCCCCGACCCTCCTCCCACATCCACGCCCACCCGGCCCACCCCAGGCTCGGCTCCTGCTCAGAGCTCGGTGACGTGCACGGCTGGTGAGGGGAGTGGGCCAGGCCGGAGGCGCCGCAGGTGGCAGCGGCGACACAGCAGGTGGCCCTCCAGGGGGTAGCAGCGGCGTCCATCCTCCCCGCTCAGCTGCAGCCCGCAGTCCTAGGGAAGAACACAGCCCCCGGCCCCAGAGTAAGCAAGGGGGCGCATATCGGGACACATCAGACGTCATGGGGGGGGGCAGATCTGAGGACGGTGGCTTTTACTGTGTGAGCCGGAGGATCAGGAGCCCAGTGTTGAACACACCAAATTGGAGGTGCCTCTTAGACATCCAAGAGGAGAAACCTAGGGAGGAGGAGCTGGATACAAGTCTGGCATCTGGGCAGGATATGTGGGCATCAGCGTAAAAATGTGATGGTTTTTAAAAAGAAAACAACAGATTACCCCTCCCAGGGAGTGCCGATAACTAGAAAGAAGAGGACAAACAGCTGAGCCTTGGAGGCTCCAACATGAGGAAGGAAGAGGAGCCTGAGCCAAGGAGGCTTGAGAAGAAAATGAAAGTGAGGAAGACCAGGCCAGGCAGCCCTAAGGCTAAGTGAAGAAAGCGTGTCAAGCAGGGAGCCATGAGTGTGCGGGAAGCTGCTGAGGCCAAGAAGGCGACATCTGAGAAGTGCCCAGCAGATTCCACCCCACGGGGTCACCGCAGGGGGGTGGGGGGCAGAACGCCCGACCCAAGTGGCCTTAGGAGACAACAGGAAGAGAATTGGACACCAAGTAAAGGAGACTGGCTTTATGTCCCTTATCTGGCTATTTTTGCCATGGCAGTTTCCAGGGCCAAAATGCCTCTCAGCTTGGACACTTGCTACCCAAAAGACACCTGCCCCCCGCCCCCCACCCCCACCCCCAC